GTGTGTGGTGTGTGTGTGTTTTGGGTGTGTGTGTGTGGTGTGTGTGTGTGGTGTGTGTGTGGTGTGTGGGGGTGGTGTGTGTGTGGTGTGTATGTGGTGTGTGGTGTGTGTGTGTGGTGTGTGTGTGTCTGTGGTGTGTGTGTGTGGTATGTGTGTGTGGTGTGTGTGGTGTGTGTGGGTGGTGTCTGTGTGCTGTGTGTGTGTCTGTGGTGTGTGTGGTGTGTGTGTGGTATGTGGGGGTGGTGTGTGTGTGTGTGGTGTGTGTGGTGTGTGTGTGGTGTGTGTGTGGTGTGTGGGGGTGGTGTGTGTGTGGTGTGTGTGTGGTGTGTGTGTGTGTGGTGTGTGGGCGTGGTGTGTGTGTGGTGTGTGTGTGGTGTGTGTGTGGTGTGTGGGGGTGGTGTCTGTGTGGTGTCTTTGGGGTGTGTGTGTGTGTGTGTGTGTGTGTGTGTGTGGTGTGTGGGGGTGGTGTGTGTTTGTGTTTGGGGGTGGAGGTTGGGCCAGGTTTGCTCTACTCCACCCCAGCTTCCTCTGCCAGTGGTGGAGGGAGGGAGCCATCAGAAGTAGGGGCTGCTCGGGCTGCAAGGCCAGATCCCCTCCTTGGAAACGTTCTTTGAGTCTTAGCATGTGACTTAAGTCACATAGAGCCCAGGCACTCTGACCCCAGGACCCACATCTTGAGCTCAGGAATGCAAATTTGATTCTGCAAATATTTATTGAGCACATATTCTGTGCAGAGAGCCCTGATCCGTGCACTTTAGCATCAAAGAAAGTTTGTGTTTCATTGCTTCTGCCTGCTGAATGACCTGGAGTTTGCAGATTCAGACTGGGGAAACTGGAGGGGCAGCTGCCACAGTGGGCCTGAGGCCTGTGTTCCCTAAATGAATGAGTGAAACAAAGAAGCAGCTGGTCATCGCTGGACTAGCTGCTTCCTGAGCTCTGAGCAGAGCTCTTGTGTGGACTGGCCCCCACTCACAGCACGCTCATGCCTGGTGTATTGAGAGCTGCCGTGTCCTTCTCTTTGTAACTGTGGCCCTTTACAGTTTAGAAAACCCTCTCACATTTATTGTCTCATGGGATCCTGAACCAAAGGGTCACTAGTTCCAGGGAGGAGAGAATCCAGTCCTAGGGATGTTGAGAACCTCACCAGGGCGTCACACTGTCTCAGGTGCAGGGAGGCGCCAGTCTTCCCAGAGGCAGCCTTCAGTACCAGTTCCAGGGCTAAGTGGGCCTGAGGCAGGAGGCTGAGAATGGGGTGTGGCTGTACCAGAGCAGCGCCAGTGAGGGCCACCCAGGCCTGGCTCCCCATCTGTCCAGTTCCTGGGCCCACTCCAGTATCTGGCCACTTGGGAAAGGCTTGGAGCTGGGCCCAGTGGCCCTGGAAGAGTTTCCCTGTAGGCCTCTCAGGGCCACACCTTCTCCACCCTGCCTCGGGTTCCTGAACCTGGTGATCAGGCCCAAGTTATTCACCTCCCAGCTGGCACCTGCCCTGGCCAGATT